AGAATGCCGACGGGAAGGTAAGGTTGTTTTCTTCCCTGTATAAAAACCTACCTTGTGCAGCAGCGGCCTTCTTGTTTTCAGTGGCAGGAGTCCGGGAGAGAGCGCGAGGGCAGCTGGGAAGGTAAGCTTTCATTATAAAAGTCTTACCTCACGTGACTGCGGCCTTCAGTTGTTCAGCGGAGGAGGAGTCCCAGAGCGGGCGTGAGTGGTCGGCTGGATAACGGTTATCTTTCATCCAATAAATTTGGGGGATAGACTGTATCCTTTGCAAGCAGGATAGAGAGTCCCACATGGTGTGTTGCCTGCCCGGTGCCAGGGTGCTAGACATCTCTGACTGGCTTGAGAGGATACTAGAGAGGGAGGGGGAGGATCCAGTTGTTGTGGTCCACATAGGTACCAACAACATAGGCAGGACTAGGAAAAAAGACCTGTTTCGGGATTATGAAAAGCTAGGAACAAAATTAAAAAACAGGTCTTCAAGGGTCATAATCTCTGGATTGCTGCCCAAGCCATGTGCAAATTGGCATAGGGAGGCAAGGGTCAGGGAAGTAAACACGTGGCTAAAAGAGTGGTGTGGGAAAGAGGGTTTCCTTTTCCTGGGGCACTGGCATCAGTTCTGGGACAGGAGCGATCTGTACCGCTGGGATGGACTCCACCTGAACGGGGCTGGGTCCAGTGTTCTGGCGAAAAGGGTAAATAGGGTGGTCAATAGGACTTTAAACTAGTAAGTAGGGGGGAAGGGAGAAGTGTGCGTAAGGGAGTATAACAATTAATGGAAGGCAAAGCAGCAGGTTAGCAGGTGACGAGGAAGCTTCAACTCCATTGAAAATTAGGAAAAAAGTTAAAGGGAAGGAGAACTCAAGAGCTGTTAGTAATGGAGGTGATAGGACTTAAAAAGAAGGTGCAAAAACTGGCATAAGAGCACTTTATCTGAATGCTCGGAGTATTCGAAACAAGGTGGATGAGTTGACAGCGCAAATCATGGCAAATGGGTATGATTTAGTGGCCATTACAGAGACATGGTTGCAGCATGGTCATGACTGGGAGTTAAATATCCAGGGGTATCAAACTGTTCGGAAGGACAGACAGGAAGGTAAGGGAGGTGGTGTCGCTCTGATTTTTAAGGATGATATCAGGGCGGTAGTGAGAGATGATATGGGTTCTACTAAACAAAAGGTTGAATCCATTTGGGTTGAAATTAGGAATAGCAGGGAGAAGAAGTCACTGATAGGTGTGGTCTATAGGCCACCAAATAATGACATCGTGGTGGGGCGGGCAATAAACATAGAAATAGCTAATGCATGTAAAAATGGTACAGCAATTATCATGGGGGATTTTAATCTACATATCGATTGGTCAAACCAGGTTGGTCATGGCAGCCTTGAGGAGGGGTTCATAGAATGCATCCGCGATAATTTCCTTGAATAATATGTAATGGAACCGACGAAGGAGCAAGCTATCCTAGATCTAGTCCTGTGTAATGAGACAGGAATAATTAATGATCTCACAGTTAGGGATCCTCTCGGAAGGAGCGATCACAGTATGGTCGAAATTAAAACACAGATGGAGCGTGAGAAGGTTAAATCCAGTACCAATGTCCTGTGCTTAAACAAAAGAGACTATGATGGGATGAGGGAAGAGATAGCTAAGGTAGAATGGGAGCAAAAACTTTATGGTGGGTCAATTCAGGAACAGTGGAGGACTTTCAAAACGATTTTTCACAGTGCTCAGCAGAAGTATATTCCAGTGATAAGGAAGAACTGTCGGAAAAGAGATAGTCAGCCATGGATGTCTAAGGAAATAAAAGAAAGTATCAGATTGAAAAAAAACACATACAAAAAAGCAAAGAGTAGTGGGAAACTAGTAGACTGGAAA